GATATTTTCTGAGTGTCATGGGATGAAGGTGTGTTGTGAAATGGGGGTTTGGAATTCTTAAATTTGCTCACTGTTTTCGTGCAAGCCGCTAAGACGGAATTTTTCCACCAGGGCGGGGCCACTGTAGCTGGGTGAGGACCGTTGTGGCGGGACAGACGCGACTTAAGTGGGAAATAAACCCCAAAAATGTTTTATTCTGCAAGTTTCGACTTTGAGAACTAAGGAACGACCCAAGGTGTTTTCTTGACAGTTTTCCACCATTCTTGAGCCCAAAGGTAAGGTTTTCACTCCCCGAATCCACTTTTCGATCCGTAGAACTTAGTTTCTTGGGTAATTATCTATGGGAGAGGGTTTTGATCTGTGGTTTATGGTGGAAGAAACCCTACCCTAGGTATGGGGATCAATGGTTTGGCCTAGGGTTGATGTTATTGGTTATAATCCAGGTAATTAGGTCTTGTTTATTGATCCTCGCATTATTATGATTGTTTGTAGACCAAGAACAAGCGGAAAGAATCCGAAAAGGAATAATCAAGTTTCATAGGGGATTCAAGCTTTGTTCAAGGTAGGTGATGGTTGTGATTTCATGTTGGTGTGATATATATTTGTAATTGCTTCATCATAATGCATGTATGTACGTGAATGTTGCATTATTGATCACACTAATCGTAAATGAGGATAATTGAATAATTGTATGTCATGAATCATGACTTGATTGTATGATTATGAGAATGTACGTTGTGATTGTGATTGTGGCTTGATGAATGGATCAGATGTTACGTTCCGACACACTAACTTGGATCGGGTGCCACGTTCCTGCGCATATATGGGATCGGGTGTCACGTCCGACACACTAACTTGGATCGGGTACCACGTACCGGTACACTAACAATTTGGGTTTGGGTTCTGTGAGAGGACCAATGACTTGGCATAATTGTATATCTCGAGATTGTGAAATTGTATGTTGTTCGTAAGTGATAATTGATATGTATATGTTTGGTGTATACATGGTTATTATTGTTGTAATGACATATATGTTTCGCCTTTTGGGATAGCCGCGTGATCCTACCAGTATACTATGGTTGTGTACTGATACTGCGTTTGCTCTTTCTTTATTGAGTACAGAGCATCTTCAGGCGACTACTGACAGACCTCGCTTAGAAGATCAATGATCAATCGAATTCAAGGGTGATCCCCGGGCTGCCATGAGTTCTCTTTCTGTTTATGTCCACATTTTCGGACTTAGACTACTGCTTTAGATTCCTTGTGTTAGTTTGGGGTTGTACCCCTCCTTGTTAGACTTATGGTTCTTGTTGGAGTTTTGGTACATTGACTTTCAGGTTCTAGGTATTATTTTCGCATTTGTTTTGTTAGTTTTTTGTTGGAGTTTATGGGAATTCCCTATTTTTCTATTCTTAGACATTTAAACTTGCTTCCGTATCTTTAAATGCCTTATTTTTTGGTTAAGTTGTTTAGCTTGGGTTGTAGTAATGGTTCTCCCACAGGAAAGTTAGTGTGGGTGCCAATAACGATGGTCTGAGTCGTGATATATTTGACATCACAATCGAAAGATTATTAGTATAAAATAGTCTCTAGGAAATGTTTCAATATTAAAAAAGTTATGAAAATTGTAAAACGCTAAAAACTCTGCAAAAGATGAAACAAAAACTGCAACTTCGAAAAAATCATGAAGTGTTTTATTTTTTTTAAAATAAAGAGATAATAATAAATTGATGCACTTCGTGTCTTCGTCTAAGCATAAAATGGGAATGAATAAGTATTTGGCACGGAGAACTATTTTCAATATTCCCATGGTTAAATATTTTTGTAGGAAACCAAACTTTTTAAAATTAAAAAAGTAAATACTCATAGTAAAGATAATATTCTTTTACCTTAGCGAAGAAAGGATAATATTAACTATTCTTGCACAATGATTTTCTAAGGCTATACTTTTTCTGTTTATCATTTAACTTATCCATTATACTAATAAATATCCGTTTTTATTTATTTTAATTAAAAATTTAAGAGATAATTTATCACTTAATTTTTAATTTATCTTTATTATTAATTTCAACATTTTTCAAAACATTAAATTTATTATATTTAAATAGTATTATTTTTTAAAAAGTGTGTAAGTCAATACTTGATAAGTAAAAGTGGATAGAGAGAGTATTACTTTAGTACTCTCTTCATTTCAAAATGACACATTTCACTTTTTATTCAAATATTATAGAAAAATACCATAAATTATAATTTTTTCTGATATCAATAAAATAAAAATATTAATCAAAATTTATAGCGTTTAACTTTGAAAATTTAATTATAACAATTATTTTGAAATAGAGAAAGTATCAACTATAGAAATTTGACTCATGACTCAAACTATTGATCCTACTATTTCTTTGTTCTATTAACTAAATTCAATTTTTTCAACCCTAATATTATCGATATATATATATATATATTTTGATGGTAGGTATATACTCTGATCTGATGATAATTTTCCTTTTTAGGGTAGAAGTATTTCCCCCCTACTTTATTTGATAAATCTTGAGGAGGAGTCCACATGATTGGTATTTAATTTGCTTCTTTTTACATTAATTATGGCGTTGCATTTTTGGTCTCACCGACACTGAATTCGCAAATTCTAGTAGGTCGGTATTTATTTAGTCCACAAATTTATTATAAAAAACACACAAAACAAAAGGACAAAGACACACACACATCTTTGGTTAGTTGGCTTGTCTTTCTCTTTCTCCACTGTCGGCAGCTATTGAGAGTATTTCTTCTTTCTTTGCCATCACCTAACTTTAATTACTCTTTTAATTATTTGTTGTTTCGTCAAATATCTATCACACAAATTAATATATTAGGGAGTAAAGTATATTATAACAGGTAATTTAAATTATATATACTTTTTAGTGTAAATGAATTCTGTAATTGATTATAACTTAATTTCTTAAAATACAATGTTAAACTTATTGTTATGTTCGATTTTACTTAATAGTGAAATAATTTATATATTATCAGGATATATAATTTAAATTTGTAGCACATGATTTACTTTATATGCCTGGTCAAGTTATTGCAAACAATTAGTTATCTATAGTCTGTTTTAAAAACTAAACTCTGCATTCAAATGTTTATATTCATGTGTTTACTACCTCATCATTCTTCCATTAGTCTAAAGAAAATTTGTGTATTTAATTGTTACTAGTTGCATACGTTTATTTTAATTTCTTTATTACGGTTAAAAAGTCCTTGTCTTCGTTTTTATTTCCTATTTGCTAGCAAATTGCCAGCTACACAACGAATTGAAAAAGACTAGCGACTCTTTTAGTTTTTAGAGCACAAATTAAATGCATTCTTTATAAACTATAAATATAAGAGCTATGTTGTTATATCACTTTCTGAATATACTATATATAATGTCTTGAAAATGTAATAAAAAATGACTATAATTAATGATATGGGTAAAATAGGGGCAAAGTGTAAAATTATTAATTAATTTCATAAAGTGGATAAATATTGTTAGACATTTCAAAATAATATAGTGCACAACTATAGTTAGATGGAGGAAATACTATTCTTGGTGTCTATTTTTATTTATCCACTATTTTAAGAATATATTTTTATTTATTACTTTTAATATAAAAAAAACTAGTTACTTATTGTTTAAATTATTTTTTAATATTTAATACAAAGTCATGTTAAAGCATTTTAAATTTAAATGTGATAACTAAAAGTGAACGGAGAAAGAACATATGAATACTTGGCTGGGGAGACAAACAGAGATTCGAGTGGAAAAGTGCTAAATTTATTTACCGATTCAACAAGACTGTTGGTTTACATTTTTTTTTAAAAAAATTTAAAGTTTTTTCTTTCTTTCAAAGTTAATTAATTTAATTACAGTAGTTAGTGGGTGGTTATTGTCTTAAGAGACTTTATTAAAGTCCACTTTAACTTCAATAAGCCATGTGAGCTCACTTCCAGCTGCCACTCACCGCCAAGATTTTTCTCCTCTTTTACTCTCATTTTCTGTACCATTTTAGCAGATCTTGAACAGTCATTGGCTAAAAAACCCTCAAGAAAATCTGCAGCAGCTACAGAGGGGTCTATGGAGTTCTTCAGATCTACCATATTATTAGTCTTCTTGCTGTCATGCTTCAGCTTTTCAGCAACAGGTTTGCTAATGACTTTACCCTTTTTTTTCTGCTATCAAGTTTTCATTTTTTTGTGAAATTGGGATGTGGGGTTCAGTTAGTTTTTGATTTGCTTGTTTGATTTTGAAGAATTTGGTAATGCTGACAGTTCTTGATGGCTCTTTCTAAGAGGATTAGGATTTTTAATGTGATTTTAAGCATAAAGATTTGATTTTTATGTGTTGGATTATGTCATATTTCTGTTGTTGGATTTGATGAAGTGAAATCATGTTGGACTTAAAGATTGATCTGCTTCTAGCTAATTAAAATATAGAGGAGCAAGTCAAATGAGTTCTTGATTTAGGAATTTGCTGGGAAATTGAACTTGATTTGGGATTTTGTAGGGACAATTGAACTTAAAAGTTAGATCTTTAATGCTACACTATTGATTGACCCCCTAAAGATACACTTATGGATAGTGATCAATCTCACTGAAAAGGATTTCAGATCAATCCTGTTTTCCTTTCACTTGAGGTTTTGCTCTAGCCTATGATTCGCGATTATACAGGAAGTTGAATGTTTTCTTTTCAAGTCAATGTGCTTTAATAATTGAATTGTCCGACACAATGATGTCATGAGTAATAAGAATCCAATGCTTCAGCAATCTCCTAAAGATGAGATCGAAGAAGATCGTTAAAGTTTGGCTCCGTACCTGTATAAATATGTCAATTCTGATGGCTGGTTGAATATGAGCCTGGGGAAAATATTTAGAACTGGTGAATTGAGTCGAACAATGATTCAACTCCTTACACTGTCTAGGGAAAGTTAAACTATTTGATTCCCCCCTCCACTCATTTTCCATGTTGTTGGATCAGATTTCTGTGATTCATTTCACTCTTTTCTAATACTTAAGTGTAAAGATCTGTTTGTCTGCGCATGTCCCCGTGCCTTTTTACAAGTTTCACATTTTTATTTCTGGTTTTCTTGTAGATGCCTTCGATGCACTTGATCCCAATGGGAACATCACAATTAAATGGGATGTCATCAGCTGGTCACCTGATGGATATGTTGTAAGTAGTAGTCTCTCTCCTCTCCCCTTCCCACTTTTTCTGTCAAAACTTATGTGGACTAAAACAAGTTTGAATCTATTGCGCTGCAGTTTCTAAGTTTCATTGACAATTACCTTTCCACTCTTTAGTTGTTTCAAGTGTTACTGCGCGTAAAATTAGCACATACAACAAAAGCGCCCGTGGCTTCAGCCTGCCAGACATAGAACTTTAGTGTCTTTTTAGTCTGTATTTAACTCTACTTCTCCTACTCCTTATTAGTACCAACAAATTGTAAGTTTCTGATCATTTTCATTGCCAATGGACAGGCTGTTGTGACTATGTTCAACTTCCAACAATATAGACATATTCAAGCACCTGGTTGGACGTTGGGATGGACATGGGCGAAGAAGGAGGTGATATGGGGCATGGTGGGAGCTCAAACAACAGAGCAAGGAGATTGTTCAAAATTTAAAGGAAACATTCCCCATTGCTGCAAGAGGGATCCAACCGTCATCGATTTACTACCCGGAACTCCTTACAATCAGCAGATTGCAAATTGCTGCAAGGGAGGAGTGATCAACTCATGGGGACAAGATCCTGAAACTGCCGTTAGCTCATTCCAAGTCAGTGTTGGTTCAGCAGGAACAACGAATAAAACAGTTAGAGTTCCTAAGAACTTCACCCTTAAGGCACCAGGGCCTGGTTATACTTGTGGACCCGCTAAAGTTGTTAAACCCACTAAGTTCTTTACTAATGATGGGAGACGAGTAACACAAGCCATGAGTAAGTTACTACATGCATTCTTCATTATGGTCAATGATTCATCTAAGTCAGTTGCTAAAATTTCTCTTTGTCCATGAAACAAATGAAAATTCTAGAATGCCTTGGTTCTTTAAAGGCTATTAGTTTTCGTTGCAAAGCATTTGCATTATTTTCCAAAACACCTTAACTACACAATCTTTGTCATTAATATTTTTATAATTTCCATGAGCATTAATTTCTAATTATTTATGTTGTTGATGACAGTGACCTGGAATATCACATGCACATACTCACAGTTCCTAGCTCAAAAAACTCCTACATGCTGTGTCTCCCTTTCATCCTTCTACAATGACACCATTGTACCGTGCCCAACATGCACTTGTGGCTGCCAGAAGAATGGCACTCAGCATGGAAATTGTGTAGAGTAAGTCCTGCAAAACATGTCTTTTTATTCTTTCAATTTTTTGTCACAGTTTCTATTTTTAAAAACTTTGGTTATTTACTTCCTGATCGTTCTTCCTTCGCTCCTCGCAGTCAAGACGAACCACACTTAGCTTCAGTTGTTTCAGGCCTTGGAAAAAACAATTATGCTCCTTTGGTTCAGTGCACAAGTCATATGTGCCCTATTAGAATTCACTGGCATGTGAAACTCAACTACAAGGAGTATTGGAGGGTGAAGGTCACTATAACTAACTTCAATTACAATATGAATTATACGCAATGGAACTTAGTTGTCCAGCATCCCAACTTTGACAACCTCACTCAGTTATTCAGCTTTCATTACAAGTCATTAACTCCTTATGGAGCAATAAGTAAGTTATCTATCTATTGTTTCAATTAAATCTCTAATGAGCAGTTTCTACCATTTCATTTGTGGTCGAGTGAGCTAGTTGCTACTACTTTACTGTTAAATACATTCGATGAATTTTCAGCAGTTTCTTTTCTACACTTCTAAAGAATTTTATTTCATACTGTTGGTTGAAAATACTATGATTTCTCTATCAATTGAGAGATTGAAGGATATGGCTGATCTCGTGGAATTTTTACAGATGACACTGCTATGCTCTGGGGTATGAAATTCTACAACGATCTGCTCATGCAAGCTGGTCCACTAGGAAATGTCCAGTCTGAGCTGCTATTCCGCAAGGATATGTCGACTTTCACTTTTGAGAAGGGGTGGGCTTTTCCACACAGAGTTTATTTCAATGGTGATAATTGTGTCATGCCACAACCTGACTCATATCCATATATGCCAAATACTGGTACTGTATGGAAGTTTTCTTCGTTAAAGCTAGTGGTGATGTTGATGCTCTCTACGGCATTCTTCTTTGCAACTGTCTAGAAACCGGATACACACCAAGTTCCTGTCTCAGTAAGTTATCTTTGGGTTGATTCGCTTGCACAGCCGAGGAAAACTGATTGGAGAGTTAGATGTCTGAGCAGAGTGATGCTGACCATTTTTATGGATTCGGGTATATGCTTGTTGAAGACGAATTTTAATTTCCTCTATATGCTGTTTGAAGGGCTAGTGAAAATGGTGCCATGATTTTCATTCAGCAGTTTGTATCAAATGTTTTTCTACTGTGGTAAAGTCATTTTTGTTATGTAGATTTTCTTAAGTTCACAGTTATATCAGGGTTGTATGAGAATAAAGACTATTCAGAAACAGATAGAGTTAATTATATGATATTCTTTAGTTCTCTTATTTTTACACAGTATCACCATGTAACCACTTATTCTATTTTGTAAAAAAGGTTTCATTTGTTCAAGCCAGGTTCATTCTCTGTAAATTTCGCTTATTATTGTCGTTATAATCAGCTGTCATAATGTGTTTTTATAACATTTTGATAGTACGTTCTGTACTATTAAGTTACAGGTAAAATTAAATGATCTATCAATGGAGTTTGAGACGAACGCAAAGAAGATGATAGCTAAATCAGGGTAATTAAGGCTGAATTGAATATAGAGAAGAGAAGATCAAATATAATTTCATGAATGAATCATTTTACATGTAGTTGCTCGAATTGTAAGCACCTTCACTTTCAACCCTAAGTTGTGAGTTCGAGTGATTAAGAGCGCAAAAAGGTGGAAGCTCTAGGGGAGGGGTAAAAAAAATGTAATTGCTCCTAGTTACCGTCAAACATAAGGGACTAAACTATGTTTGTCATTTCCTCCAAATAGAATCAGAAAAGGCCACAAGTTGCAAGTTCAACTACTCAATCCCGGCCCATATGATTTTTAAAGCCCTTCTGGCTGTGAAAACCCTAACGCTAGACCACTCACGACCTATAAATACACTGCTTCGTAAACAATTGCTGCAGTGAGTATCGATTTTTTAACTACTAGTGTGGTGTTTGTGTTTGTGTGTTGATTATCGTATTATTTTATCGGTTTTTTCTCATATGTTTTGATTTTGTGATTTTGCTCTATAGTTATGGTGGTTTTGGGAGTTCCTCAGTGATGAACAACACAGATGACGAGTCTGATATCCATTCTTTTAAAAAGTGTGAAGACAAAACGAGGCATTTGTCTGAGAGGAACTCCAATCTAAATCACCTCTTCTTTTTTTTTCCCGAAGTTAGGTTGGCTGTCCATTATGTGGACAAATATTTTAAATTGCACTCTCCTTATGAGTAGACCTGAGATTTTTAACATTGAACTCATAACATTTTTGAAGATATGCAATCATATCTAGCTAGTTATATACTCCTTGTTACAATTTTTAATACTTCAATTTATGTTGTACATGGAAAGTATTGGATTCAAATGATTTGAATACTGATACCTACATCTGACTTTGGACCCAAACAAAACATTGAAATCAGCACCTCAAACGAGCAAATGCATAGTAATTGAAAAATAAAAATGCTTGTAGTTGAAAATAAGTATATATTGGAGATACCTGTTTGTTGGATGAACTGAGCCTATTATTGAGTAGTTCGCTCTGAATAGCAAAATGGCATGTTTGAGACTGAGTAACTATTATTGTTATTCATATCATGATAATTTGAAATTAACAACAAACCATCTGGTGTATACAAGACATTCCACATATCATGCATGCCAATTTAGAATCAAGGGATCATAGGCAGTTGAGAAAAAAAAACAAGCAAGAATATTAAATTAAGAAAATCTTTGAATCTGAAAACTTCACCTGCCCAAAAAAAGAGCTGCAATCAAAGTACACATTTTTCTTAGAGAATTAGTCCCAATTGATTGATGATATATAGTAACAAAAAGAGGAATATAATGTAATCTCTCTTTTTCTTGTTTTGGCTCTTCTTTATATTACTCTACTTGGCCTTTTTGAATCTTGAAGCAAGAATTCCTTGTGAATTGAGTATAACATCTCAACAACCATTTCACCCTCTTTCTTTTGAAAGAAGATTAAGAGCAATTTGTTAACGAGTATAACATCTCAACAACCATATTGTTGCAGAAACACAATATGAGAACTCAGATAATTAAAACAGTGGCAATGCTGCTCTGAACAAGTCTTCATCTCAATTCTCATTGTATGTTTGATTAATGTAACTGTATCTATTAGGGGAACTTTCGTATATAGACACTCAAAAATAGCTTAATTACGCTTCATAACTATAGTTTGCTAATTATAATTCGTAACTACATGTTATAGGGAGGAGAGTGGCAAGCGAGATTGGGAGAGGGAGGAGAGAGGGCAATAATTTGTATAATTCACATCTCGTTTGTATATGTAACATCTTGCAATTTGAAATAACTAGGAAGAAGCTAATAATTGGAAATGGTCATTTTTGGAAAGAACGAAAATCTGAAAATTTTGTCAAGTTAGAATAAGTTGAGTTTTGTCCAACTTCAAACGGCCATAACTTCTAGCTCAGGATGAGTTAGAGGTACTTCCAGATATGTTATGAAAGCTCTTGTATTGATCTTTCCAACGCCACTGAGTTTAACTGATTCCGAGTTCGTATGAGTGAGTTATGCCCTTTGGAAGTTGGGTTGTTGGAATAAGGAAAGTCCAATCCGAATTTTGAAAGGGTAGTTTGGTCTTTTCCTTGCCCAATTATTTTATTTCGTTTTTGGTAATTAAGTTAGGGTCTAATCAGAATTAGATCAGTTTACGCCTTTACCAAAAAACGCTAGGGCTTGGAGAAAAGAGAAAAGAAGAGAAGAAAGGAGAAGAGAAGCAAGATTCGTCAAGATCGTCAAGTTTAGCTTGTGGATTTCGTCGGGGGTGATCCCTACAAGGTATCTGAGATCACATAGCGTTGGGTTAGTTCACCCACAAGCCAACCATGATTCAATTCAACGAATTTAAGTTTTTGAAAAGTTTAGAAATTGAGTTCTTGGTGAACATTGTTGAAGGTTTCGTTTGAATTCTTATGGGTTGTGTTGTTGAAGTTTCTTGCGCTTTGATTCATGTTTTTCGGGTGTAATTTCGGTTTGAATCTACCATATATTGAGAGTATAAATGATTTTAAGTGTTTGGGAAAAGAACTAAGTGGAATTAGAGGGTTTAGAGTTAAAAAACGAAGAAGAAAATTTGGGATTTTCTGGGGAAGGGACTGGGGTGCCGCGCCTCTCAGTGTGCCCCAAAACAGTCTCTGAATGAGGGGCTCTGGGGTGACGCGCCAGCCAGAACACCCCAACTTGTTCTCTGAATTTTATTTTATTTTATTAATTATTTTTTATTAGCGACGGACGGCATTGTAATGACCCTCTTGGTCATTTCTGTGTCTTGCCTTCTGTGTGTCGTTTAGAGCGTTCCTGTAGCGACCCCAAGTCATTTATGACTTGCTGGGACTGACAGTTCGGTCACCTGGTCGTTCGTTTGGTCTTGGTGCGAGTTTTTGTGTTTTGGAGCTTATGAACCTTGAATAATCATTTTCGATCAAAAGTTCAAGGAGATGACATCAGAATCCAATTCTGACGATTCCATCAGCTCCGGAAGGGTCATTTTAGGCTAGTAGCATGGTCGACATGACTCTCGAGGTTTTCAGTGTGAGTCGGTGCGATTAGGCGTTTTTGCCTTTGAAATTTGGCTTAAGTTTGACTTTGGTCAACATTCTGAGTAAATGCGCTCGGATGAGAATTCCGTCAGTGCATTCAGCTCCGGAATGTGGAGTTTGGTCTAGATTGACCCTTCTTTTGTGTCCCGAGGTTTTCGATATCTTTTCGAGCCCTTTTGTGGGTCTTGACTTAAAATGGCTTTTGGAAGTGGGACTCACTTTTTATCGAAATGACCTCTGATGGAAATTTCGACTGCGCCGTTGAGTCTGGAATATCGAATTTGGTATGGTTGCATATCTCGTTTGCGTGCACGGGATTCCGAACGAGATCGGAGTACCACGTCGGGGTTTTTAGTTGTTGGAAAAATTGCAGATTTGCAGATTTTCAGCAACATTTCCAAAACTTCAAACTCTCTTAACTCTCTCATCTCTCAACCGATTTGGGCGATCCAACAGGAAAAGTTGTGAGATTTTTTGAGGACAACGCGTTGGTGAGCTCGGATAGTGGTTTGGGGTTCCCGTTTGAGGTAATTTCGCGAAAAACCTGACTGCTGTACCTTTTTCGAGTCCTTGTTTTTGGTAAAAAAAAATTTGGCCATATCTTACTCATTTTAGCTCGGTTTTGGGTGATTCGAAGTCCCACATGTTGAGAATT